TGTGGGTATGGGTGTGGGTATGGAGGTGAGTGTGAGTGTGAGTGTGGATATGCGTGTGGAAGTGTGCTATGCATCTATAATTACATCCATACCAACATTCCACACCCACATCCGCATACGGCAGAACAAATTAACAAACTACTGGTGACACGACAGTTGATCACCCGACAGTTGAGTTCCCGACATTTGAGCCTTCATTGATTAATTGCAAAAGAAAAAAAATCCATATTCGATCACTTCGTTCACCTCAATATTAATGAACAGAAACATGTGACATCTTCCTATGTGATTGATTACTTGCTATTAAATTCTTCCATAGCTAAATCAATAATCTTTACCAAAACTAATAACTTTTTCGAATTATATATATTTTTTTATCAAGATTCTATTCGTGCTCTACCTTATTACGTTATTATAATTGCACAATGTCAATTGTTAAATCCTCAAAAAATAAGGACCAACTTTTACTTGATGGTTTTCGTTACACACGTGCCAAAGAATCTCAAACCGTCGGGCGTTGTTGTAGAAATATTTGTGCAGATCATGTACGTTTTGATGGTACAATATATATTAATGTTCAAGATCATATTTATGCATCTAATGCTGAAGAAACAATAGCAATGGAATTTAAATTAAAGATTGTGGCTAGTGCGACCACATCGCATTATCCACCTAGACGTATTATTCATGAAGCTTTACTAAGTATTAGCAAAGATAATGGAACAGCTATTCCAACTTATTCATCATCACAACGTACTATTGAACGAAAAAGAAAAAAAAAGATATACCATTACCAAGACCAAATTCATTTGATGATATTTATATTCCTGATGAACTTCGAGTAGCTAATAGTGGTAGTCGGTTCTTATTGTCTGATAATGAAAATAATAGTGATAGAATGATTATATTATCATCGGATGATGATCTAGATCGTCTATCAAATTCGGACTATTCGCATACAGACGGTACATTTAAGGCACGTGTAATAAGAATTATTACCCTTTCAGACGTTTTTTTTATGTATATTTTTTTCATAGATTGCTCCCCAATTATTTCACCAGTTGTACACCATTCATGGTATTCTATGTGGACGTTCATTACCATTAGTTTATTGTATCATTTCTGGAAAATCTGAAGAAATACATGATGAAATGTTCGATGTTGTCCTGAAACATATATCTCAACGTCCTAAATCAATAACAATTGAATATGAAAAAGCTGTTCTCAACGTAATCAAACAGAAATTACCAATGACAACAGTTAGTGGTTGTTTTTTCCACGTTAAGCAGTGTTTGTAGAGACAGATTACGGTCGGTTGATTAGATACTATACATTATTATTTAAGATAATTCTAATGATATTTCATCTTTTTATCTAGACTCTAGGATTGCAAAAAATCTTTACTAATGATCATCAAGTTCGATGTTATTTGAAAAATTACAAGTTGATTCTCCAGATTCGATCAACAGTACAAAATATTTGTTATCATTGAAAAAGATTAATGCTTTATTCTTATAATTATTGTAGATTTCGTCGACTACTAGGAAGACAATTTTATTGGACGTCTAGTTCGCAACCATCGACGTCGTGCTCCACGTTTTCCTATAACTATGTGGAATTGTTTCTCTTGTTTGGATCAACAACTACCTCGTACAAACAATTCCAATGAAGGTTGGCATCGAGCTGTTCAGATACCGTTCATTTCCGAAGTATTTTTCCTCAGCAATATCTCATTCGTTTCTTTGTAGCATTCAGTACGACAAGGTCCATCAGTATATGAATTAATAAAAGACTTACAAATGGAACAGCATGCGAACTTGATAATGGCTGAATAATTACAAACCGGACTTGTGAAAAAGTTAAACGTATTAAATATGAACTTGTAGATGAACAATTGCAACAATGTGTTTCTTCTTTTGATTTGATGACAAGAGACTTATACTTTAAACGAGCAAGAGCTCTATTCAATTTTTAATGTAAATTTGAAATTGTTCAAATAAAATTATTTGCTTGTACTCTTTAATATATTGTCTAATGAGGACTCAACTGTCGGGTGCTCAACTGTCGGTATACCCAAACTACTACCATACATTAGAATTCTCATTGAAAAATGACAACAGAGGACTTAAATGCGCAGAGATTTTGAAATGCATTTGAAAAAAAAACAGCCGAAAGATAATCCGTATAACTCATTGTATGCATTTGTTATCTGTTAACCATATGCATGTACTCAGAGATACACCTAGAAATGAATAGATACTAGGCAACTTTTCTCTCATGCTATTGTCAAAATCAATCAAGCGACTCAGGTGAAATAAGTCGGATCGTAAAACGATCGTTTCCATTGATTTTTTCGCCATTTAACATGCACCATATTATGACACGTTGAGTAACAGTCAGATACTGGATTTTTCGACCGTATCGGGTCGTTGTAAAGCCCGGCCTGGAACAACTTGGATAGAATTCCAAATCAGACAAAGATAAAGATAAGCTGTACCCCAAAACCAAATATGATCGAAAAAAGCATAAGATTCACACAATGGAAATCTTACTTTGCTCAGCTCAGTTGACTGCTACAAAAATGGAACAGACAAAATGTGACAAGTTGGTGCTGCGTTTTGCACCTTTTATACAATATTGCTCTCTGCTAGTGGTAATTCTTTCATCCTGCACAAGTATTTTTCTATTCATAAAAGAGAAACGTAGACGAACGACATGCGCAATGCACTACTTCCAATGGTACATGCAAAACAAACCTTCAAGGCCAGCAGTGTGCTGCGCAAAACAAAAAACGACTCATTGCACCGTTTTATTTTTATTGCGAATGTGTACCGAAGAAAAAATATCCATGAAAAAGAAAAAATCACATTTTCTCATCATAGTGATGGGTTTATACCCACAAACCTAATAACGAATAGTATGAAATAATGCACATAATAGGTCAAATTTCACTCGAAATGATTGCGCATGATGCATGTTGGGACTTAATGAGTAGTTGATATTCCCAAGACTGTAGACTCTATGGTATAAGGTGTGTGCGTGTATAAAACTACCATGATGTCGACATTACATCTCAACAATGAGGATCTACAGATGGATGCCGGTGTGGATGTGGGTGCGTGCGGGTGTGCCTGTGGGTGCGAGATGAGAAATGTGGATGTGGATGGGTATCAGCGTGCGTGTCGGTCTGGATGTCCGTGTAGATGTGGGATGTCGATGTGCGATTTGGGTGTGGATGTTGGAAGACTACCAACACCCGTACGCTCACCCATCCTCAACCCACGCCCACACCCTAATTTGACTCTTCTTTGAAAAACTCATCATGATAAATAGCGAAATCTTCTCACAAATTAAGAAATATTACTTGAATGAAAAGATAGTACAACAAATGAATTATACTTAAGAAGAATATTAAGACTAGGATATTTCTTATGTTAAGTATCTTACAGAAATATGATAATTTATTTTAATTTATATTCGACAAATTACGAAAAGTAAAACCCTTACATATAAAAAAAATATAAATTATAAATTAAACGGTAAATGACACCCCTAATAGATAGGCAAACTTATACGACAAAAAAGAAAAGAAAATAAACATGACATAAAGGGAAAAATACATACGATGTAGAGAAACGAAGAAAATAACAACATATATAAGAATGCACGAAAGTTATACGTAGGTGAAGTTAGCCTCATATTCGAATAAATCTAGCCGAGATTCTTCTAGGAAGCTGTTCCAACTGTTCCAGCGAGTTCCAGAGTACAACTCGATGAGCTTTATCGAATGGTATGCTCAGATTCTCTCTAACTCAAATTATAATTATTAGATTTCCTATAGCGCCATCTATCGACCTAAAAATTATAATTTGAGTTAGAGAGAGTCTGAGCATACCATTCGATAGAGCTCGTCGAGTTGTACTCTGAAACTCGCTGGAACAGCTTCCTGGACGAATCTCGGCTGGTTTCACTCGAATATGAGGCTAACTTCATCTACGTGAAAGTTATTGTAAGTTTTGTTTTGTTTGAGCGTGAGTCCATTCTTTATTTCACTAATGAAAGAATCAAAGAATCAAAAAGAAGAGAATACGACGATAACCAGATTACGAAAGAAAGACAATATATGTATCTATATATATACAAGTAACGTTCATCAACACTGAATGTTGATTCACTGGGCCCTAGACTGACGGAATGATGACAGGGATGTCTTTATATTTTTTAATAAAACAAATTCTGTACAATGATGAGTTTAGGACAAACTATTAACATTTGTAACATGTTCCATATTACATACTATAGATAAATTTAAACAATTAACATAAAATATTGAAAGATGCTAATATATGATAAAGCATACGTCTTAGTCGATTATAACAAAGAAAAATAGTGACTTATGTCATAGTACTGGCCATTTATGATATGGATATGGATAGTTATGAGACAGACATGCTCATTTCAGTCATAGGAATAGACGTCTGTTACATAGAAGTGATTGATTGTGCCCTGAAAACATTGAGTTGAGCCACAAAAACAATCATTTGTATAATGAAAATCGTCAATTGTGTCAAATGAATGTCCGTCTGCACCACGAATATGGTGCTTGGTACCATGCAATGGTCACTTGTATCACGATTCATGCTACAAAGTACTATAAAAATAGTCACTTCTACCACGATTTATGGTACTTTGTATCGTGACAACGGTCACTTGTAGCACAACTGTGGTACTTTGTACCATGGAAATAGTCACTTGTACCATGAAAACCGTCACTTGTACCGTAACTCATAGCTCTTTATGCCATGAAAATAGTCACTTGCACCACGACTCATGGTACTTTGCACCATGAAAA